CACGACGTGCATTGCCACGGCTGCGCTGGCGGCACCACGAAGGGGCGGCCGCGCTTCTTGGTCCCACACGTGCAAGCGATGAAGGGTTGGTGGGCAAACAGGCCATTTTGCCCACATTTTGCCCTCTCGCGCGATCTTCTCGCGTCGGCTATCGCGCGGGCCAGGACAGGGCCCCGGGGGGGTTGGGGGGGGGGGGGGGGCGAATGCTGCGAGGGCGACAATCATTACGAAAAATAAGAAGCGAGTCCCGCCGGGTTCCCCAAGCAGGGGGGGCGAGAGTAAACCAAGAAGGGCCAAGATGAGCGGTGCGCGCAGGGGTCGGCGTGGAGGGCGAGGAACGCGCCGCGCGGGGCGCCGCCTCACCTTCATGGGCTCGACGCCTCAAAAGTGGCGCAGAGTGAGGCGGCGCCCCGAGCGAGTACGTGAGCCCCGTGGCTCCAACCGGGCCCTTCCTTTTTTGAGCAGGTGTGCCGCCGCGCGAGCGACGCTCCGAGATCGCCCGAGATAGCGCGGCGCGGCCCCGAGATCGCCCGAGATAGCGCGAGATCGCCCGAGATCGCGCGGCGCTTTCCGAGATCGCTCGAGATCGCGCGGTTTTGCGGCGCCTCGGCATATCTCGGGCTCGGCGCATGGAGTGCGAGGTTCTCGTCTGTCGCCGTCCCAAACTGTCACTCCCCTCTCTCCCCCGGGGTGGGGCGCGCGCGGGGCGGCGGGTGTGCGGGATGTCTGTGGGCCCGAGAGCGATGTGCGTGTGCCTTGCGTTTGTTTCACAACATCGAAGGCTAGCTCAAAAAATTAGATCATTTTATAATTTTTATTTGCGGATGAGGTTAATTCCTTAAAAAGATAAAAGTGAGGCACACCCGTACGTGAGACAAAACTCTCCTAAGATCACTCTCTCGAACATGCACATGGCACCTAGGTGAGCTCTACCACGTCACGTAGACCATTAGTCTAAGTCATGTCAAAGTCCTGCTTTGAGTCCTCGGAGCCCACGTACCATATCTCCCAAAAGGTGTCCGCGTCTTTGCGGGGGCTGGGCGGGATGTCGTCGGTGGTCGGAGCGTGCGTGATCACGGCCAACTTCAGCGGGCAGCTAGGCTGCTGGAAAGCTGGCTCGTATGGGGGGCTCACGACCTCGTACTCGCCGCTGTCGACCCCGACGACTCCCACCGTCTGCTGCGGCGCCCCGGGCAGCAAGTTGGCTGATGGCGAACCCTCTTCGCCAAAGCCGTCCGTTGGCCGGATCAGATACGCGTACATTTGCCCGGCCGCCTGCAGGCCCTGCGTGTAAGTCGACTGCCCGTAGAATGACAGCTGCCCGCGATCGACGTCGTCGCCACACTGCAAGTCTACCGACACCCCAGCCTGTTGCAGCTCCGACGCCGCCCCCGTTCCCAGGGCGATTACGTAGTGCCCTGAGAGTGAGAGAGGCCTGATCTCGCTCACGGTCGTTCCCACCTTGACCAGGTCCATGCCGCCAATCTGTTTCACCGCCTGGTAGATGCCCTCTTTTCGCTGTTCGATGCCTGCGTTGTCCTGCTCGTTTTCGGACCAGTAGACGGCGATCTTCATCGATGAATCAACAGCATCTGCGGTCGGCAGGACGCCCGACATGGCGGAGTCCATGCTCTTTGTGACCGCGAGGATGGCGCAGGTGGTGCCCATGTCATAGTTGGCGCTGCCAATGTACCCGTCAAACGTCGCCGACAGCCGGCTGCCGGAAGAAAAGTACTCGGTCATATCATAGGCGGTGTCGGTGTTGGTGAGGAGGTATGGCTTGTCGGGCTTTTGTTCTAGGCACGAATTGATCCTGTCTGCGATAGATCTTCGACTCGCCTCATCCGCGTATGGGACACTGATGATGACGCCGTCGGCCTCCGAGCACGCTCGGTCGAGGTAATTCGCCGTTGCGGGGATGCTGTAGCCAGTGCGCAGGTAGACGAGCTTGGCGGCCGTGTTCGGCGGCAAGGCATTGTACGCCCCTTCATACCATGTGTTCCAGAACTCGTTGCCGATTGCCCCGTGTATGATGACGAAGATCACTTTCTCGGGCGATCCAGTTGATTCGCACGCCTAGCAGCGTGGCTGGGATGTGAGAGGC